AACAGAGGCTCAGTTCTTTCTTTTTGACATTGCATGTGCAGATATTCATACTAAATATTTTTGGGGCCATAAAAATTTTTGTGAAAATATTTTAAAATGCTGGCGATGGCTGACAACTTAAAAAAAAAAAAAAAACGCTGGCAGGGAAAGAGTTAATGCATTGCTATATTGATGCTTGGATGGATGCGTGTCCATAAAACAGATAAATAATAAATAATAATTTCAAGAAATTCCCATGAGCAATAGTGAAAGTGATAACTAGTCATAATAATGATGGTATTAGCAAACACCACTCAGTTTAGATGATTTAATTAGATGTCCTGCATTTCCTTCTCCACACCTCTCGGCAGTCAGAGAAGAACTTGTGTAACTGGTGTGAAGCAGCGAGCATCTGTCCCCGTGTCTCCATCAGCTCCAGCAGATCCGCCCAGGCCTCGTTCACTCCATCCTTCCATTCAGCGATGGTGGCTGCGTCAGTGTGCCCGTAATCTATGAGCTCATCAACCATCTGGTTGACAGCTGTGACCCTCTCCTGCCCCAGGCTCCCAGTCTCCGCTGCAAACTCTGTGAATTTCTCCTGCAGAATCTGAGGTTCAGGAAAAGTGCCACCATGACAGGGCAGAAATGTTACGAAACTGAAGAACTATGAGAACTACAGTTAATCATGTTTAGGGGCAGATAAATATGAAATAGCTGAAGCAACTGACCGTGACATGCTCAAAGTCCTGTCCGAGTTCAGTGGAGCTGGCGATGACCTCCCTCTCTGCTATCCACTGCTCAAGTTCATCCACCTCCCTGTTGAGCTGATAGAGCCAGTACTGCTGCTCCAGACGAGACTTCCTCTCTTCCGCCAGGTCCTTCAGAGACACGTACAGCCTGTCGATCTGAGACTGATGCTTACTGATCTGCTCACTGAGGCACAAGCATACACACACATACTTAGATTTCATTCAAAGGAAACAAACATCAGTGAAATCTGTTACTCTTGAAAGGTGTTATCACTGGAATACAAAGAATGTCATCTGTGATTGCTCAGAAGTGAAACTAGATAGGCCAAAAGATTGTTGTGTGATTGTATGTTTGATTGGGTCAGTAAGTACTGCTGCACATTTACCAGTCTGGATGTCTGAGCTCCAGCAGCTGTCTGCACTGCTGTGAAAGCATTCCGATGGTCTCGGCATAGTCCTCTATGGTCTGCTGTAGCGCCAGCTGTTTCTTCAGCAACTGCAGAGTACTGGCCTCATCCTTGAGCGAGAGCGGACACAGCTCAAATACATACATCCTGCTCCGATGTCATCATCTATAACATCACAGCATCCCAGAAAACTACCTTGCCTGAAACTAAAGTCCTGAAAAACATGTTGTCTACACAGGTCTCAACAATGAAGATGTTTGGTCCAAAATGGTCCAACATAAAAAAAAAATTATATTTTATTTATATATATATATATATATATATATATATATATATCTAAA